TGTGTGTGTGTGTGTGTGTGTGTGTGTGTGTGTGTGTGTGTGTGTGTGTGTGTGTGTGTGTGTCTCACTATGCCAGATGCCGATGTAGAGGTTGAGGGGGTTCCCGTAGCCCCCCTGGATGTGCGCTGTCATGATGCCAACAAGGACTATGTTGTGGTAACCTGGAAGCAGCCAGCGGTGGAAGGCAGCAGCTCCATCCTGGGGTACTACATCGACAGGTGAGTCAGCCTCCTCTCTTATGGTTTACATCATTTTGCTACCATTTTATACAAAATTGTAAAAAACAAGAATAGTCCGCTTTCATGGGGGCATATGATACTGTGTACAGCATATGCAGTGAAACTGGTTTAATTTTGGATGTTTCTGTGTTGGCAATCCAAGTTAACACCTGGTTTACAGCATTCACTAATCTAAATGTTTCCAGGTGTGAGGTGGGCACCCATCACTGGGCTCGGTGTAATGAAGTCCCAGTCAAGTACGCTCGCTTCCCTGTCACAGGACTGGTGGAGGGGCGGTCTTACGTGTTTAGGGTGCGTGCCGTAAACAAGGCCGGAGTCAGCCATCCATCCCGCGTCTCTGAGGCCGTGGTAGCCATGGATCCCTCTGACAGAGCACGCCTCAGAGGTGAGACACAGACACATCACCTGCTGACACACTTCAGCCATGTAAACGAATTAACCTTCTTTTTTTAAATTTAAATCTATTTAATTCATTTTTCCAAACAGCTGGACCCTCAGCTCCTTGGACTGGAATGATCAAGTTCACAGAGGAGGATCCGACAGGTACGGCACCTTTTTGCTGTCTAGTTTCAGAGAATTTTAATTTTAGTTGTCTTTACAAAAAGGTTTTAAAAAGCTATTGAACCTCAATATCTTTCTCATTTTGGCCAAACAGGTCTAATATATGGACTTGACCATCCCACTCAGCTGCTTGCACATCTCTTAGGTTTACAGTACAGTAACAGTCAAGCAACTCTCCTACTCTGATTTTAGACATTTTCTCATATGGCTCAAACACGTATGAGATGTGGGCTCCCTTTCTTTGATTTTAACCGCTATAGCCATCACAGGGCTTCCTGATTGATGCCTGTCTCATTAATCAAGGGGAACTGTAAGCTATTTTTCATTAATGTTTAAGGGGGTTGAATGTGCTATTTTTAATCAGAAATTCAAACTTCACAAAAAATTCAGAGTTGTCTAAATCAGGAATTTGCATGTGTCTGATTATGAAAACTACCACCCCAGTCTTTGTAATAGGTTAGGTTGGGATATGGTATTTGTGGTATTGGTTTATTATTGTCTCAGTTCTTTTCCCCATTTTTTTTAAACAGTTGCTTCATTCCTGTAAATTTCAGACTCATTACTGTAGGAATAAACAACCTCATACATCCAATCAGTCAAACATCAGCATCAGATATCTGGTCAGTCTTATAACTTTAGACTATGTTTAATTCATGAAAAGCTTATATAGTAAAATACTGTTTGTACTGAGAGAACAGTCTGCATAGATCATGTGGTTTTGCCATTAGCGTTTTGGTGTCAGTACAGTCACTTCAGCACTTACCTAGTTGCAGTTGTCGTGTCTAAATGATGAGTATCTTCTTGCCTCTTCAGTCGGTGTAGTCCCAGGAGAACCAACTGATGTTGTGGTTACTGAGGCAACTAAAAGTTATGTGGTACTTGCCTGGAAGCCTCCAGCCCAGAGGGGTCATGAAGGAGTCATGTATTACATTGAGAAGGTGAGAAAAACATTGAAAACTGTCCCATAGAAATATATGTGTGTGTGTGTGTGTGTGTGTGTGTGTGTGTGTGTGTGTGTGTGTGTGTGTGTGTGTGTGTGTGTGTGTGTGTGTGTGTG